AGCCCTGCCGTTGCTCCTCCTCCATTTTATGGCACTGCTGACTTCATGAACATCATAGATCATCATAAATCAGTGATAAGTCACTTTATTTAAGGCAGTTATTTAGTATACACACAGGCAAGCGTGATGAAATCTTGTAGGCAGGAAGCCTGACTTCCACATATTCTCTTTAGGCCAGCTGCTACTGCAACTCTTAGATGCCCAAGGTGCTGCAGGCTGTCCATCAAACTGCTCCCAGCCTGTGAGAGCTCCTAATGTTCAACCTGTTTGGCTGGATAAACTATTGATAAGTCAAGTCCTATTTTTAAAAAAAGACAAAGACTCAGTTTGTACAAAACAAGGTAAGTCATCACAGAGATTTCCAACCCACGGAAACAGATTATTTCAGAAAGCCTGTTTTACACTCAATGCAGTAAATAATACCCTGTAACTACACCAGTTTAGTCACTAGAAAACCTTTTGCACCATCAGCTCTTTCAAAGTACTTTATTTCTTTTATTACCTTCTCACAAATAAGAGCTGCAGGTCTGTCTAAACAAGAGCTGCACAGAAAAATTATTTCCTACCACATCCATGAAGCAGCAGTGGACTGACTACCTTGGTTTCAGCACTGATACATGGAAGATTTCCCTCTGCTATTTATCTTCACCTAAATGAGAAGCATCTTTCAAGGCAGTATAGCTGTGATTGCTCAGCTCACACCTACCACTGAAAAAATTCCCCTACTACCAAATCCTTGAGCAACATTTGTTATCCACTTGTAATCATTGCTCACCCACTCACACTGTGAGAACTGATTACCTGTCAGTCCCACAGCAGGATTTATTTCCCCACGGCCTCTCCTTGGGTGATTAATTTACTTACTGTTGATTAGTAAACTCTTTTCCTTCGTTTGCAATAGAGCTAAGGGAAGATACATGTAAGATTGGACAAAGATAAATACATGCTGATTAAAGAAAGTAATTCATTAATTTTGTCATCTGGAATACTCATTTATAAACACCCAGAAAGAAAACTGAAATGCTTCATTAGAAAATTTCAGTGTTTATTACTAGCTGAACTAACTTGACAACTGCTTGACGATTCTTTTCTCAAAAAAACTAAGTCACTAAAAAAAAACCAGAACACTTCAGGCAAGAGTATAATGAAACAGTCTTATTTAGCATCAGTACAGAAAGAAGAGCTTAAGGATCAGAAAGGATGTGGTAAAATACACTCTTCAAATCAGTATTCATGAAATAGCAAATCCAGCAATAAGCAAGGATTAAAGAACACGGCATGAGGTTATCCCAGGTCGTCTTATCCTGTCTGCTGGATGATGCTTTGCTGACACTGTTCCTGAAGATAAAAAAAGTGAAGCCAAAGTCTGAACTGCTGATAAGAGTGGGAGGAAGCTGATCGCTTTCTCCCTGCTCTTTCACCAGCCAACCTGAGACACTAGGTATGAACATCTGTTAAGCTTATCCCTCAGAACAAATGCAGATGACAGCAAGGAGGAGCCAGTGGCCTTCAATCATTAATGCCTGTAGTTAAGACAAATAAGACAGACTGCAAACCTGGAAGCCAACAAGCACCCCTTTTTTGTAACAGACTGAAATAGAAGCCTCTGACAGGAAGAGCTGACCTTCTGTGTTTTCCATAGGAGTCCAAAGCAACAGTTTCTTAGTGCATTCAGATAACATTAGGTTCTTTTAGAATACCAGGAAATAAGTATCACAGGACAGCTGAGGTTGGAAGGGATATCATCTAGTCCAACCCCTGCTCAAGCAGCATCAGCTAGAGCAGGCTGACCAGGACAGAGCCCTATTGGGCATATCCCCACAGACAGACTCCACAAGCAATCTGCTCCAATGTTTGACCACCCTCACAGTAAATTCAAAGTAAGACTTTTCTTTTTGCAAATCTCTTTATAGAAAAATACACACGCACCCCCAGATCTACATCTCCAAGTGGTGACTAACAAACAGTTCAGTTAGGGTCAACTGAAGACTTTACTAAACCAAAACAAAAAGCTGCATTGAGATGTCAAATTCAATAACCAAGGCTGCATGTTCCAATTATTCCTAAAACTCCACATCATTTATGAACTCTGCTTCCCACATGATCCTACATGCAAACCTACACACACAAATACTCATGTCCAGAAAAACATGCTTTTCTCTTGAGCACTGATCAAGCATTTCTTTCCATGACAACTAAATATGACAAAGGAACCATGGAAGATGCTCTACTAAAAACACACAGTTGTGTCAACCTCCATACAGGAAATAAGCTACTTATATGTAGCATCAAGGATGACTAATTATTTCTAGCCACAGACTGAAGTGTTTAATTTTGCATGATTTGAGATCCTTCCCCACAGGCAGTTTGTGCTTAGCAGTGTCAAGGCATTGAAAGGATGCGTCATTTCAAACAAAGTTATGCCCAAAGATAACCAAGTTGAGCACTGAACTCAGTCTTGATAAAACTGCAGCAGCTGACTCTTACCTGGGTCTAAACATGTAAATTTGCAGCACTCCTTAGGGTCCTTTCGATACTGCTGACACCCCTGGGGCCGTTCACACAAAGCAGCCACACACATTTCAGGTTCACCGTTGTGACACGTGCAGCTCAAACAGGGATCATTCCCTTTTGGAGTGAAGTAGTAGCCTTCATCAACAATGTTGTCTTTGATGTCAACGCAAGTCTGGCCTGGAACAGAAATGCACTTCAACATCCATCTGTGAGCCTGCCAGACACGAGCCAGGTTTATTCTGTTACATTAAGAGATTTGTAAACATAAGCATACCACCAGTTAAAAGTCACACCTTCACCTTTAAGCAACTTTGAAAAGGGATCTCCAAAGAGTGGGGAAGATAATGGATAGTCTGGAGGCACACAAGAATGATTTACTGCTCAAAATTGACAAAGTGAGTTTTAAGTACTTAATGGAATTGACACGCTTCAGGCATCCTCTCCAAGATTCAGGAAAGCAAGACGTGTGAGAAGTTTAAGCTTCACTGTCCATGTCTGCTGCAGCTACCTCCCTCTCTCCTGCTACTCAGGAAAAGCTAGATCTTCTCTGGACCAGACCTGAAGGACACTCTTAACAAACCAGACCTAAAGCAGGAAGCCAGGCAACAGTACTTCCACTACCCTAGCCGCATCTTGATCCCTGCCCAGCAGAGGAAGTTCAGGTGTCCACTGTCCTTTCCTCCCACTGACCTAAAGGCAGGTACCAAAATCAGAACAGACAGTGCTGGGACCTGCCAGCTGAAGCAGCTCCTTAGGGATGGTGGCCTCCCCCCTCCATCCTAGGCAAAGGTCAGGTCAGCTGGGTGGGTCCACAAGAAAGTTCAGGCTAGAAGAGAGCTGAGGAGGTCTCCACCTCAATCTCCTGCTCACGCAGGGTCAGCTATGATGTTCCAATAGGTTGCTCAAGGTTTTACCTAATCTGGTCATAAAAACCTTGGAGGATAGAGGCTGTACAACCACCCTGGGAGTCTGTTCCACTCTTGACTACCCTCACGATTAAATAGTTTTCCTTGGCATTAATTCAAATCCCTTGCTTCCAATTAACATCCCTTGACTCCTGCCATGCATGCACCACCGTAAAGAGCCTGGGTCTATCTTCTCGATAACCTCCTTGTGAGTACTGGCAGGTTGCTATCAGGTCCCCTGGAAGGCTTCGCTTCTCCAGCCTGAAGGAGGAGCCCCATTCCCACTGCCTCACCTCAAAGGGCAGGTGCTTCAGCCCACAGCACCACCCTGGTAGCTCCCACTGAAATTGCCTCAATTTGTCAAGATCTTGTCAATATTTTTCTCACACTGCAACACCCAAAACCAGACACATTCTTCTGTCCAACTTACAAATCAGATCCCCTCGCTCTCTTGGTCATTTTTTTGGCAGAGCTATCACCTTCCTTACCAAAAGGTCATCTTTTGATCACCATTTTGACTAAAAACATGGCCTTCAATATCAAATTTCAAGATTTCATTATATCTCAAGGTAGACAAGGTAATATCTTGATGTTCTAATTTTCAGTACTTCAGGTGCAACAGCAGGCAAAGAAGGGATGAAATTTCCTCCTTTGCCATTCTGTCTTTTTCCCGATTTAAAGAAAAATCAAACTAGAAAAGCTTCAAGGACTACAGGAAAAGTTCAACAGCTTTTCTCCTTCTTGCAAAGAAATACCATCTACATCAGGTATCTTAAATATTGTCTGAAAATACTGCTAATACCTCTGTTGGTATAAAGTCTTTTGGAGTAAAGAAATGCAAGATACAGATCTGCCAAAGGTTAGGGCCATATTTTTCCACTTTAAGTCAATAGTTCCACTTTCTTCCTGACCCCCGTTTTAATAATTGGCTAGAAAGAATTTAATAGCATTTACTATATTCAGAATAAACCAGACATAAGCATTTCCTCATTTTCATGTGAAGTTAGTAATTTAAGAGGGATCTTTATTAATAGGGTAGTTTTTTTAATGTCTAAGTATACTTTATTTTGGGGTTGATATAGCTGCTTAACAGTGAAGATCTGTGCTATGGCTGCCAATCACACATTATGATGCTTACTTAATTAAACCAAGCAGAAATATAACTTCCTCATCTGTTTTTCCTTTAATTCACCGGCTAAAAGGTAGAAAGGATAACTAACCAATGTGTCTATATTCGTTATATGCATATTTAAACATGCAACACAGTTAACAATGAACTAAAACCAACTTACTCCTTTTGCAGAGGAATGATGATTTCTCATAGCAGTTTTCAGCATACCAGCTGTGTAAGCCGTGGTGCCGAAGGGTAGGAAAATGGAAACACTGAAGCTGGGCACAAAGAACGTTTTCATTTTCAGACATAGCCGTACCAAAGATAGGGTCAGGGGGTAAAAATACTTCGGAAGA